TTATAATCGTAGCAACAGACCTCAGATGAGCCCAGACGCTCTGCGGCTCTTGTTGTTTATAGCTACGTTGTGTGTAGCACGCCACATATATCTCCGTACTCTGAGCTCTAGTCCTGTGTTTCAGTCTGTGGCAGCAGGTCTTGTCGATCCCAGGCAACGAGCGCTGTTGTGACTGCCAGGCGAATGAGCCGAGGTGGGCCAGCATCAACCTGGGCACCACGCTATGCATAGAGTGTTCGGGAATCCACCGGTGAGTTTAATATGACCCGATGCATCCGATCTGGCCGTCACACAGAGACTTCAGTACTGTATAGTAGTGTATGTAATACTGCTCCGTTCTACTCTAATTACACGTAGAAATACTCTCGCTAAGTTACTGTAAATTTATGTAAATACCTAATACAGTGGACCCTGGTTTATCAGAACACTTACAGGCTGAATTATTTTCAGCGTGCCTTACGCAATTATCTGTACACAACATGTACAGTAAACGCAGCATACAGTGCACATACGTTTAGTTCTGAAAATGTTTCATGAGCTAATGATGGTCAGAGTCTACGGAAAAGCCGAGAGTTGTCACTTTGCTTTTAAGTTTAGGATCGGTTTACAATCTTCACTTACAAGCGAACTTTTGTTCTGCAGAAAATTCCTGCTTAACCGAGGCTAAGCTGTTTAAGTTTTAGGGATCGTTGCGCATGCACTGAAACTTGAGAAACTTCTGCAGTTTTCATATAGCAAGAATGAACATTACTTGAACTTGCTAATAAAGTTTATCTCAGTTAGATCCAAATTAAGTTAAAAATAACTTACACTGACGAAATTTTCGTCCATCTCTCAGTCAGTGTAAGTTATTTTTAACTTAATTTCGATTTAACTAGGATAAACTTTATTAGCATGTGAACTATAGAGATCCGATGAAATTATTCAATCGATTACGTGAACTTTCTTCGCGAACGCATCTAACGTACGGCGGTTTGCCTTGGCGCTGCTCAGGAGCCTGGGTGTGCACGTGTCGAAGGTGCGCTCACTCACACTGGACGCGTGGGACCCGGAGATACTGCAGGTCATGCATGAGCTGGGCAACGTCATCGTGAACAGCGTCTACGAGGCAAACGTCAACGAGACGAAAGTGAAACGCGCAACACCGGACAGCAACAGGTGCGTGGGTCCCTCGCTAGTGTAAGGCTGGTTTTCGTCTGTCACTCTCACACGTCGGTCAATGAGCGTAGACAGTGATGGTCGAAGACGTCTTGTATATTATAGACGGCTTTATTCTAATACATATGTGGCTATGTACACAAACTCAACCGTACGCCAGTGCCACACCTTGCCTTCTTTCTCGAATATTTCTATCCTCCTATATAGGTTGCCCCTGCACCCTGACGTCACACTGTCCATTTCCCTATGAGGAGCTTTAGCTGGCCGTATTGATTGGTTAATTATGCTGACCGGTGCAAACGTGCCTGGACATGTATTGATGAATCATCCTATTTCGCATTCGTATCTAATGGTGGTGCAATACCTCCAATTGGATCGGCGAACTGTATAACTCATTGCCTTGTGGCGCAATCTTTTATTGTATAATATTACTGTGCCACACTCACTAGCAGTGGTAGTGACAACTACAGTCACACAGAGAGAAGTCCACAATCGCAATGTCATGGTAAAATCCTACAATGCGTACTCAACGAGTCCTTATCAGCGAATTACTATGTATTACTATATGTTACTGCATTTATATGTATATATATGTATATATTGCTCGTTTTAAAATTATCATCGCTCAAACAAATCGAAAAACTAATGCATGCAGGCAATTTTGGTCCTACCGGTTAGCATATCTATTACTGATTACTTACTTGGCTATAAAATAGCAAACTTGCGCCTGCATTCTTGAGATGCACGGAAATGAAATATGCGACTGCTGCCACAAAACAAGTGGACGTGTTTATGTGACGTAAATTGTTCTAGACGGGCACGCTATTTAGACATTATTATTATTAAATCTTTATTGCATGAATTCAGATACAAATACATGTGCTGACATGTAGAGAAAGATAACATAGTGTAGGTGTGCAGGGTAGTAGTTTGTCGGCATCTCGGGAAGGAGAGAACTCGCGCTAGTGATGTTGACATTTGTAAAAAAAAAACTTTCTTGAAATACAGATCGATGCATATTGGTGAAAATAATGATGTGCGAGTTTTCCATATTATGTTAGCCTTGCTATATACTTGCACAAGGAGTACTGGTGAATATCAGAACGGCCAATAAATATGGGTAGGGTTGGGGAAATATAAAATCCTCGGCACCTCGCTGTCTCTCGCGCGGCGTTCACACGTATCTCTCCCTCCCCACAGGGCGGAGCGAGAGTTGTGGATCCAGGCGAAATACGTGCAGCGCAGCTTTGTGACGCGGTTGCCGACGGCGACGACGGACGGCGGCATGCTGCAGCGAGGAGCGTTTAAGCGCTGGAGCGTGCGCAAGCTTCCCAAGCGTGCCGTCTCCCGTAGCAACGCCCGCGACAACGGCACGACAACAAAGGCAGGCGACGGGCTTCACCTGGAAGCCCTGAAGATGGCGCCACCATCCGGCAGCGGGGACAGTGTCGAAGCGAGCAGCAATCATGAGTCAGGTACTCACCCTACAGGTACACACTCTACAGGTACACTCCCTACAGGTACACTCCCTACAGGTACTCTCCCTACAGGTACACTCCCTACAGGTACACTCCCTACAGGTACACTCCCTACAGGTACACTCCCTACAGGTACTCGCCCTAGTAGGAAAATGCGAGCAGCTACACTTTTGCAAGT